TGATTTGTTGTGTTTCCGGGTCTCTATTCAAAAAATTTCGGCCTGAGCCAAGGAGACCTAGGGTTTCTCCTATTCCATCCTGTAATGTTTTCAGAATGTCTGCTTTGACTTCAAGGTCTTTGATCCATTTGGAGTTGATTCTGGTGCAGGGTGATATATAAGGATCTAGCTTTAGTTTTCTGCATGTAGTTAACCAATTTTGCCAGCACCATTTACTGAAGAGGCTGTCTTTCTTCCATTTGCAGATAAAAATTTTTAAAAATAAAGATTTTGGATCTGGGAAGGTGGCTCAGTGGTAGAGCGCTTGCCTTGCATGCATGAGGCCCTGGGTTCGATTCCTCAGCACCACATAAGCAAAAAAGAAAAAAGCTGGTAGTGGCACTGTGGCTCATGTGGTAGAGCGCTAGCCTTGAGCTGAAGAGCTGAGGGACACCTCCCAGGCCCAGAGTTCAGGCCCCACAACCAGACCCCCCCCAAAAAATAAAAAATACAGATTTCAATTTAGTTTCTACACAGAAACAAAATAATGGGGAAATCAATGACCAGTCTTTCATACTATACATGCACTATATTGGCATAAAACTTTTATCCACAGCAGAAAATACACTTTACGGCTAAGAATTCTAACAATATTCCCAGAAGCTAATTACTCCATAAATACATTTTCTGTTTTTCTTCTACTGGTAACAACCTAAATCAAGTCATTTAGTTAATGAACAGTGATACCTCCTAGAAAGTCTTTGGAAATCAAACTGAATTATGATGGCTAGATTCCAAGCTAACGACAACTACGCCTCACTCATCATCATATAACCGTCAATTCATTCAACCATATGGTGATACTTTCTGGAAGACTCATCTCTGTATTCTTCTTCTCTACATTGATTCTCCCTAACTACAACTAGGATTGAATGAAGTCAGGGGAAAACATTTTAAGTCGAACCTTCTGTTCAATTATATGCTTAATGTGTGCCAGTCATTTTCCATATACACAAAGGCCACATCATTTAGCTTCTTTACTTTTCCTTTATCTTTATAAGCCATATCATCCACTTTAAGGTCCTTAAAACTTTCTCATGTCCTCATTCTTCCCTATTACAATATGAACAATGCAATAATGATTCAGTTTGTTTATTGATATAGTCATTGTAATTATTTAAGGCCATGTTCAACCCCTAACTTCTCATTTAAGCATTTTCCACATGATACCAATTCACAGAAATTATCACTCTATCATGTGGTAACATCTGGTAGAAGTTTAGTATTTGGGTACATACTGTTTTGGAATAATACTAAGTGCTCATATTCATATTGTTCTTGCTCTCAAGGTTTTTATTCAGAAATAATTACATCTTATCACATTTGTGCATCTAAGGAATAGACTGATGGTTTGGAAGAACAGAAAAATAAATTATAATGATGAATCATGATGATAGGTAGATAGATAGGTACAGAGACAGGTAGATGATAGATCTGTAGATACATGAATAGATACATAAATACATAGATACATAAATACATTAGCCTCAAGAAGTAGGAGAATACCAATGAGTAGATGTTACCTTGTAATACATTTTCCTCTCGCTTTAAGGAAGATATTTCTTTAAAATATTATTGAAAGTCAGAATTGGCTGCCTTATGAGGTAATGGATTACCTGATGGAGAAGATCTCAAACAGGGCTGGACAGGTGTGTGTTTGTGATATTATGGCTACTTTAAGCTTTAACTCTTGGAATAGTTGAATGGGCTTGCATTTTCCTTCCATATTTGACTCTCAATGTAAGTAGCACAAAATTTGTAAGTCAGCAGACAAACTATATTTTGGTTGGGACAAGACTACCAATAGCTGTTTGGGTGTTAAGGACTTTATCACACAAAGTACCTACCAACATTGATTCCCATTTCAAAGACTTGAATTCTCGATCCTGGGAGCAGCCTAACTGGATTAAGGATGTCCTGATTTCCCCATAGCTTTTACTCAGAAGCTGGTCTATGTACACATTTTCTAAAAGACCTAGGTCTCAAAGCGGGTAGGACTATTGCATAGACAAGACCTTGAGACAATCCTAAACCAAGCTAGTTCATAGCGGCTACTGGTTCTTTTAGCAATTGCAGCCAGATGGTTGTAGGTTCGTTCAGTCTCAACGAGTCAATGACTAGCTGACAGTGGGCATGCTATTTCACTCTGCAACACAACTTCATTATATACAAAACAGGGATGAGAACAGATCCTCCTACATAGGGCTGCCTTGCAGCGTAAATGAGTTAATACATATGAACAGCTTGGCAAAGTACCTGGCACAAGCTAAATACACAATAATGCTAGTTAATGTTCTTGTAAATTATTGCTATTTCCTAAGCTCCCTTGGCTAGATTCTAAACTTCTGTGCTTTATTTATTGCAGACATTGATGAATGTGCCTTAAGAACTCACACCTGTTGGAATGATTCTGCCTGCATTAACTTGGCAGGGGGCTTTGATTGTCTCTGTCCCTCTGGGCCCTCCTGCTCTGGTGACTGCCCCCATGAAGGAGGACTGAAACGCAACGGACAGGTGTGGACCCTGAGAGAAGACAGGTGTTCTGTGTGTTCCTGCAAGGTGAGGCTGCAGGAATTGTAACCATTCTGGTCCTCTCTCATATCTCTGCTTCCCTTACTTTTATCCCTCTGGCTGGTGACTCCTATAGTTCCTGAAGAGGCTTCTCCTCTGATCCACACGACAGCTAATGGTAATGTTGAGTGGCAAACAGATCTTCTTTAAATCGATTGTGCTTTCTGTGGAATTTGAGGTATGGAATTGAGAAGAGACGGCATGGAAGGAGAAGCAGGGCAAAGAATTCAAAGCTAGTCCTCCCATTGAGAGCCCACATTGTCTTTAAGGCTGATTGAGTGACATTAGAGAACCCTCATTTTACACTCACACAGACTTACTGATTAAAAGATCTCTTTGCTTGCAGTGATCACCTGTGTAAACTGCTCGCTTTAGTGTTGATATTATCCAGAAAAGCAAGGCTCACAGATTTGTCCCCAGTGGTCAGAGACAGGTGGACTTCTATTCTGAACAAATGATTGTGATAGTTCATGGCCTCTAAGTAATTGATATTCTTGTCTATCACAGTGCTGGATTATTTCTTACACCAAATTGTTTGATAGTGAGTTTACTACTTATTAAAATTAAATTCTATCACCATTGTGGCTTTACTTTATGCTTTTCAAAATGGGACTATGAAAGTGCTTGATTTCCTTGTGCTTTATTTTTTCTTTTGTTGGTCTTTCCTGTTAGTTTTTCTTTGTTGTTGCTTTACTGTAGGTATTGCCTTGTATTTCTATATCTCTTGGGATGAGGCTATTTGTACTTAGACTTGATGGGCATGAAAATCTAGACAAATTACTTGGTTAGTAGCCAAGTAGCCAGGTCTCCTGCTAAGTCCTGTGTTTCTTAGAAACATAGCTGGAATAAGCCTCAAGAAATCATTTCTTCCACTGCCTTTAAGGTCTATCACACTTCAACAACCCAGGGAACTTTAGGGAGAACTATATCACCACTGGCCAAAATACTGGAATTCCAATTGTATTTGAATGTTTCTATAACCCAGCTTTAGATTCTTTTCTTCCATTTCTTGAGCAGCTGCTATGTTTCACACACCCATTCGTAGAGCACATCTTTGCAAGATGAAGAAATGGACTCTATAAGAAGTATTTAGAACTTGCTGTAAATACTGAAGGCATAAATGTCTATTCTGAAAATTAGACATTATATTTTCCAGGGATTTGAGCTTCACTTGTTTGAAAGTTCATAGTTTTCCTTTAGTGCCAGTCATTGCTATGGATGAGGCAGATGAATCTGTTTCAAATCAATTAGGAAATCTGTAAATCCACCTTGACTGAGTTTAAACTGTGAGCTCAGAATTATGTTACTGTTAGTTGGCTAGTTCTTCAAAAGTTATGTCATTAAGTATATTGTTTAACCAAGTGGTTATGAATCAATGACAACTGTTTATGAGGGAACAGATTATGTTGTCTTAAGATAATTGAGAATAGCAATTCCCAATGGCAATTCTGTTTCCTGTTCAGCCAGCAAAATGGAGATGGATTCTTTGTTATTCATTTTTGAGGAAATACCATTTTTCTAAACTTTTGAGGCTGTCTACAATCCAAACTGAAATCGTTTATACATTTTCTTGGTCACTTGTCTCAGGAATTTTGCTCAAGTTTTGACTGCTATAAAACCAAAATTTGTTCTTTTTCCTGTGTTAACGCAAGAGACCCACCAATCATTAAAAATTTCCTAGGGCATCATTAATTAAATTTATTAATAAGCCAAGTATCACCATTTGTTCTTATTGACTTCTAAAATGTCCCCCAAATCTTATGAAAATTATGTTTAAATTGCCACAGCAGATAAACAATTATTGTAGTATTTATTAGTAAGATATGCCTTTACTACCACCACCACATTCAATCATGTTCTGAATAAAGTACTAGGCAGATTTCTTATTATAATTTTTGTAGTTGTTGTTTTACTATTACTTCATTAGCCACTTATGCCATAGTTTCCCAGGGTTTCAAAAGAGAGGGAGAACCATGTCTGAGGAGCTGATTGCAATATCCTGAATCAAATCTGAAAGTCTCCCTCATAAAATGAACTGTCTGCAACCATCTTTATGTTCATTATTTGTGGATGAAAGCATCCTATTCCAATTCATAAGAAATATCTCCCGTACTTAAGCATCTAAATGCATGGTTATACTGACATCATATTGGAAGCCTTGAAATAAAATCAAGATTAGGGTATAAATTACTATTGTTTCAATCATATTCCTTCAATAAAAATAAAATCACATAACAGAATCTCATATAAGTCAACAAATGACAAAGGCTTACTGTTGAAAGAAACAGAGTGAAAGTTTTTAAAAGGTCAGTTTTCCTCTTGAAAGTCAATATACAAGGTTAGCTACTAGTGTGCTATGTCAATTGAAAGAAATACCATGAAGTGTGTCCACATATAAATGGAGTTTAATGATAAAATCTGGGCACAGACAATGGATTTAAACTTTGAAGATTCTATTGATTTCTTTGGTAGTAGCATGGCTTTGCATATATAACTACTTGGTTGATTAAGCAGACAGTTTCAGCTACTCGGAACCCACCCTTCCCAGCAATAGCAAGAACACAAGAACTACCTCCATAGGTTTTTGTCATAATTTGTCAAGTCTTGGGAAGATATCTTTATTTGGTGACTTTGTCACATGGGAAAGTATAGAGGTCCCAGGTTTATTGGCCTCCAGGAAATGCAACATTGTAGGATGAGTGTTTGCATTCATTTTGGGAATCATCTAGCTGAAGAAGGAAATGGATGCAAAAGCAATTAACCATCTGTCATATTGTAATAGTTATGAATTCCAGGAATATCATAGGAAAAGAAGTATGCTATAAGATGAGAGGAAGCAAGTGAAAACTGAAGGTTACATCATACAGAAGATGGCCTTTTAAAGAGACTTTGAAAACTGAGGAGAAATTCAGCCAGGAATAAGTGAGGAGAAATGAATTCCAAAAAAACTCATAAGCAATAAGCTTATATATTATATTCGAAACACTAAGTGAATAAAGCTAGAATATAAGCACAAAGAGATTGTGGAACAGGCATGAAGTTTGAAGATAAAGGCTGAAGATAGAGCTATGGTATAGAATTTAGGATTCCTGGAACCAAAAGATCATGATAGCTTTTATTTTTTTTTAATTTTATTTTATTTTATTTGTGAACATACTGTACAGAGGGGTTACAATTGCATGGGCAGGATAATGCGTACATTTCTTACCAAGCATTGCAGCCTCCTCCTTTGTTTACCCTTCCCATCCCTTCCCAGCCTCCCCCCTCCCCCCATCCCAATCCTTCCCCCCTCCCCCCCACCCCCTTCCCCCCCCCTGCACCAACGTTGTAAAGCTCGTTTTGGACATGACAACTTGTACTTCTCATTGTTGCATCAGATCCACCTGTATCCTTAAACAACTGGTTTTTCCCCATCTCCTCCACAAGTTATACTGACATCAAATATAGCGAAAGCAGGGGTTATACTGTGGGGGAGGGACATACAAAGCAACAAAGAGATAATCTTATAAATGCATTAGAAACACATGCATGAAAGAAAAAACATTAAAATACATATCTAAGGGAGCTTTTATATTTAAGATTTAATTTGCTGAAACAGGACAGAAGATGACCCATTGCAACAATGATACTTACAAGACACTATGTTGGAAATGAACTTTACAACTTTGTGGGGGGAGAAGTAGGAGAGGTGGAAGAGAGAAGGGATAGTATGAGAAAAACAAAGAAGGGGGTAACAAGTCTCGACAAAAAATATACTCATTACCTTACTCATGTAACTGTAACCCCTCTGTACAGCGTCTTTACAATAGAATAAATTAAAAAAAATTAAATTCCCAGGCAAGCTCTGAGCATGATATGTGGCCTAAGGAAATCAAACGTAACTAGAATGAATCACTTATAATATTGTAAAGGTTCTAGAAAAGGAACCATAAGAACCTGAAAGATAGAAAGGTAAGATCACATGAAAGAACATATTGATGGGAAATGATGGGTCATCAGTCTCTGGGTCTAGGTGTTCCCTATGCTTAGGGAAAAATGAAGCTCTCTGGGTTTTGGTGGCTCAGATCTGTAATCCTTGCTACTCAGGAGGCTGAAAGCTGAGGACAGAAGTATGAAGCCAGGTTGGCCAAGAAAGACTCTTATCTCCAGTTAACCAGCAAAAAGCCAGAAGTGGAGATGTGGCTCAAGTGGGACAGCACCAGCCTTGAGTAAAAAAGCCAAGGGAATTGCAAGGCCCTGAGTCCAAGCCCCAGTACTGGCACACAAAAAAAGAGCACAAAGGAAAGTAATCTCTAAAGGAACAAGTGTGAGACTTAGATGCCTATTTTGCAGAGTAAACAGATTTCATGTACCACTGACAAGAGAAAGATTCAGGACTTGCAAGTTATGTTTTATGCACTCAATCACAGCTTCTATTACATTTCTACCTCTACTTGTACTTAGGACCACAGCAGGAAACTTTTATTCATGATTTCTTTCACTCTATGCACTTTCAGCTAACTATAGTCAACCATTGTCTAAAGGCAGGAAACTCAAAATTCTAGAAATAAACATTTCACAAGCTTTAAATCGTTCATTGCTCTGAGTAGGGTGATAAAATCTTGGGCCATCTTGAGTATGGGTCATGCTATTGTCCAATGGATTTGGCCTTCATTTGCCACCTTCAGTTCACTTCATAGCCCTCTTGGTTATCAGACTGAATGTTTTCATACTAAAGCACTTGCAAAGTTTCTCTTATGTAGTAACCTAATACAATATCACAATGCCAATGCTACCATGTAGGTGTAATTTCATCTCACATCATCATAAGAAGGGGGATTACAGTGCCATATTTTGACAGTAAGCAAGACCACATTCACAGATTATTTTATTTTATTTTTTATTGTGAAAATACCATACAGAGGAGTTACAATTACTTGAGCAAGATAATGAGTACATTTCTTTTTTTTTCTTTTTTCTTTTGGGTCCAGTCGTGGGCCTGAACTCTG